TTAAGAAGAAAAACTGAAACCACAGTCTTTGAGTTGTCTTATCCTACCATAAAACTACATAAAGGATATCTTAACAAAAATTTCCTTTTTCTTTTCCTTATTTCCTTATTTTCATTGTCTACAATAAATCAGCATACAACCAAAAAAAAAAAAAAAAACCCGAAAAAAAGGAAATTTGGTGCAGCTTTAAGGAAATTTGATGCAACTTCTTCAGCAATATCCATCAGTACCATGACTGTAATTCTGCTTTCAGTGGAATCTGCCTCCTCCAAAAAGCGGTGACATCTTCTCTCCCCACTTTTAAAAACAGGCCAATATTTCCCCCAACCTGATGACTTGCTTCAGCTTGCTTTTCAGCCCTTCTGAAGTGTGATCCAAGTCCCCTTGGTTATCAAGGCAATCCAACAATCTCCCTCCACCACCAAGAACTAGCCCATCTTTTAGTAATCTCATCACTGTAGCAGGATTCAAGAAATTAAATTGCAATTAGTGAATTTAAACATATGCCAGACAAAGGGATTTACTCCACAAATGTGAAATACCGTCTACTACCTGAGTCAAGACATATGAATAACTTTAGTCTGTTTTTATAAAATGCAAAATAGCAGCAAAATACTACTGTTCAGCTATTTTTGAAAGCCATAATTTTTACCATTTGTACTGCACTTAATGACATTCTTATGAATAGCGAAGTATGTGTGCTCTGCATGGAATGTCCTCTGGCTTTCTACTTGGTTTCTGCATCACTTCCAGTTCTTCTTTCCTGTCCATCTCCTGTCCAGGTTCCACAGTGTCCCCCAGGATTATCCAAAGATCCTTCCAAAAGCAGGAAATACTTCTACAATGCTGACTGCCAGGAAGCAGCTTCAGTACAAACCTGCCTGAGAGCTAACCTGAATGTGGGCTGCTTTTAAGCGAGCTGCATTCATCAGATGTGACCAGGACACAGACACATCCTCAGTGCCAGCTCAGCACTGTTCCTCTGTTTGACCTGCAGTCCCTCCCTGCTGCGGCTGCTGGGAGCACCTGACAGCACAATGCACCCTGACAAGCCATTGCAACCAGGAGCTGGGAAAAGCGTTCTGTGGTCTGTGCAAAGCCAGGGAATAATGCATGCAGCCTCAAACAGAGCTGTGAAAGGGAAGCAGGCCAAGCTAATCATGCTCAGCAGCAGGTTTTTAAGCACTTCATCTGTGATGATTTCTAAAAGGTCATAGAGACCCTTCCCGAATAGCATTAAAGTTACTCTTGGCAAGCTCACATTCAGAGTCTCCTGTCCCAGCCACAAGTTTGTGATAAATCAGGTCTGAATTACCTCCTCTAAATAAAAGCTTACACAGGTAGGCAACTACAGAAAGATTAATTCAGATTCAATTTACCCACACATATTACAAATTCAAGTTATATATATGAAGGCAAGGGTCAGATTTAGTCTCAGATGGAGCAGCTGTGCTCGACAAAGTGAAATCAACTTAAATAACCAAATACGGAATGGAAAAAACAATAGGATATCTATTTCCAACCTTGAAAAAAAAATCCCAAACAAAATTTAAAAAACAATCACAAACTAAATAAAAAGGTATTTTAATGCCTTTTTTGATTTAAAATGCCTTTGTTCTAGGAAACTGAAATTATCTTGAAGTCAGAAAGTAAGCTCAGTGTGTTGTGCAATGATTCCATTAACCTTGCAATCAAGCATTAAATTCAGTGCCCTTGTCTGGATTTCCCTGCTGCAGGGGAAAATGTAAGGTCTGTGCTTTACCTTACCAGAGCCAATGAGTAAAACTTCTAGAACTAATAGCATAAGAAACTAAAGTAGCTAGTATATGGCAAAAATTCCTCTGATAACTTTTTAATGATTAACCTCACGCTCAGAGGTTAACATGCCTTTCACACTTGTTCTCCCATGCATTCAATTAACATCTGCTTTGAACAAGTTAAATTGAATCTGAATATGTTTTCTGCATGTACCAATAAAGCAACTCTGCACCTCTGCTCACTGCCTCACAGAATGAAGAAAACAATTAGATACTGCACAGTTTTATTCAACTCCTTTTCCTTATGCCCATTTTCACCCCGAAAACACTTGAACTAAGATTAATTTTTTGTTTAAACTGCACATCATGGTAACCCAGCAAGGAAAGAGGAACTCTTTTTAAATCATTGCCCTACTCTCAGAAGCCCCTCATCTCCTGCATAGATATTCTAAATAGAAAAGACTGAATAATCAAAGCAACACATCACAGTATCACCAGCTCTGGGACCAAGGGTAATTTTTCTGCCATGCAGAGTGTTTATTGTGTGTACAGTCTGTCCCCCTCCAAGTGAACTGAAAGGATGGTTTTCAAAGCTGAAACAAATGACAACCTAGGGACTGCACTTCAGCCCTATTGTAGGTGTTACACATTTAAACACAAATAATCCCTCTTGTCAAATGTTCCTCACTGGTGCCTGATGTGTGGCATCTTCAGGAAAGGAGTTCAGCAAACAAGAAGCATTGAAAGCACAGAAAATATTGGATGGGGGAAGGAACAATGACAGGAATGTATCACTGGCTCTCCAGAAAAGCTGTTCCTTAAACAACAACATACTTTATCTCAGACAAATGCTGAATTTTAGACAGATGCTTTTGCTACTGTGGCAATACTGGTTCAGAAGCCACAGCAGCTGGAGAGGATGACACTTGATTCCTCTCCAGCTGCATCACAAGGCGCAACACCCTCACCCACAGGACCAGTGAGTGCTGCTGGGGTTTCAAGCTGCAAATTTCAGAGAGAGAGATGAGCTCCTGGAAAAATCCAGGCATATTTTACAACTGGCAAGCATATGTTGACCTGTAATTCAAACTGAGCTGGGATTCTCTGCGAGGTTTTAGTTCTTTTGTTTACATTTGACATCCTGCTCTTTGCTAATATCACAAGGACACCAAGGCAGATTTAGTTCTAAACCTTGGCAGATTTAGATTTAGTTTGCTTAGAAATCAAGGCTAGATTCTTCATTGCTTGTGTTTCCTTAGTAATATATGCATCACAATGAATACAGTATCAGTAATATCAAGCTCAGTCATGTCCTGGGAATGACTTAGAGCTAGCAAAAAGAAAAAAAAAAAACTGATAATTCAAAAATTGGTTTGAGCATGCACCTCAAAAGTCATTTTTTATACTTGGAGGCCCCTCATGGAAGAAAAAGGATACAGGTCACTTACTGCATCAGCAGTAACACTGATCAGGCTACGGAAGGGAAAGAAGCAGCCATGTGCTGATCTTGTTAAAAACAACGGTATTTAACCCATTTATATCAACATTAATAGAACATTTCACTGGGTTCCTTTGTGACTGCACTCCCATGAATTATGGATTTCCAGTTCTCTAATTCTTGACATTTGGCCTTGAGTGTTCACATTGAATCACTGGAATTGGAGGAGAATGAATGGACGTGAGAGGGGAACTCAGTCCTTTCTATTTCAAACACTACTAAAACAGGAGCTCAGCACTTTCTAGTGCTGTGTCCCAGCCACAAAAGCACGGGGGAGATCCCCAAAAGCACTCAGGAGACACAAAACCAGCACTTCTCCCGACACCTCTATGAACACAAAACCTAAAATACTCTGGTGTAAGAGCCTGAGATGAGAGATGTGGGACTCCAGGCAGCTCTCCAAAACGCTGTTTATTGTGTACAGCAGCCCAGGGTTGTGGGGGACAGAGCTGTGGCTACAGCTGTCAGCTCCAGCTGCAGGCAGACATGGACACCCTTTAGTTCTGGCTACAATGCATTATCTGTTTTCCTTTGCTGAGCATCTTAATATATAATAACCAATCAGCATCATGTATAACACCTTTGGTATTACCTATAGCCTATCATAACCATCATTACCATATTATGGTCAATACTGTCCAATCACAGGAGTTGCTATGTACAGTTTAGGATTAAAGTAGTTTTTCAGTTTTCTTGCAGTGGAAAATTCTTAGACCTTTCTTCTGCTTGCCACACTGGCCTGTCTGTTTGCCTATGGTACCTTTCTGCTTTTCCTAAGACCTATTTCTGCTTGGTAAAAACATCTTTTTTGTTTGTGGCCAACACATCCTTTGCTCTAGTCATAAAACAGAGGAGATTCCCTCCAACTCGACTTTGCCTTTGCTTTCTTAGTGGTGGTGTTACATTTCAGTTAAATGGTTTGCTCTGTCTCACTCCTTGAAAATGTAGGGTTTGTTCCAAGCCTGCGATCCTCCCCTGCACTATCATGGATCTGCAATCCTGTTGGCCCAAGTCTGATTCCATGCCCACTTTGGATCTCCCTGATAAGCTGTGGGGGGAGACCACAGGGGCTCTCTTGGCCCTTTTCTCGCCTGCTCTCCCTCCTTCCCCTTCCCCCTTCTCCCTCAGAAGCCATGCTGCTCCCAGGGCTGGCACCCCCAATAAACCCTCATCTAATGAGCACCCCCAGAGCTGTGTGGAGTCTCCTTGCCTGCCTGCTGCTACCAGGGAACACACAGCTTAGGGGACCCCCTGGCCTCCCCCCAGACAAACTGCATCAGTCCAGCAATTGTCAATTTAGACATCCACTGTTCTATATCAAAACTCGCTTCCACCTCCATTCTGTTCTGTAGGGAGATAGAACTTAAGGAAATAGTGTAGAAAGTAATCATACCCCTAAGGAGCTGCAGCTGGGCCAGTTATCAAAGATTAGGAACAGGCACAGCTGTAACCAATGAGAAGAAGAGCGCTATAAAAGTGTGGGTTGGCTGGTTGAGAAGGGAACTGGAGTGTGTTGGCTACTTGGTGAAGAAGAAAGAGTCAGTGCTCTGAGGAGCTGCCCATGAGGAACGCCAAGAAGGTGTGAAGCTTTTGTGACAAGGAGACAGCAGCATTCTCAGGTTCTGCGCTCAGAGAGCGTTCCACCAAGCACACATACCCACGAAACCTTCTCGCCAGGCTTCCACCTCTCCCGCCACCCCGAGCAGCTCCCGGCCGGTGCCGGGGCTGGCGCAGCCCGTGCCTACCTGTCGGCGTCGCCCAGGCGCAGGGCCGTGCCGCGCTGCAGCGTCTCGCGCACCGTGGCCATGCCGTCGGGCAGCCGCGTCAGCCGCCGCGTGTACAGCCCCAGCCCGCCGTCCGTCAGGTACCTGGGGACACAACACCTGCTCAGTGCCACAGCAACAGCACCCGCGCCATGCTTCAGCCCTTTGTAAGTTACACGGAATTAGCAGCGAGCGAAACGTCGTTATTGACTACGTCAGAGTTCTCCTCCATTGTGTTGTGTTTTCCATTTCACCTTGCACGCTCTCTCATCAGCAAGGCTTGAATTTCAACATAAATGTGATGAAGGATACTTAAGAAATGTAGGGGGATAGAATGTAAGAAAATAAAGACAGTGTAGAAAGTATTCTTACCCCTAAGGAGCTGCAGCCGGGCCAATTATCAAAGATTAGGAACGGGCCTGACTTTAACAGGCCACAGCTGTACCCAGTGAGAAGAAGATGCTATAAAAGAGTGGGGTGGCTGGTTGAGAGGGGAGCTGGAGTCACTCGTCTGCTTTGTGAAGAAGAAACAGTCAGTGCTCTGAGGAGCAGCCCGTGAGAAACACCAAAAAGGCGTGAAACCTTTGCAATAAGGAGACAGCAGTATGGAACCCCTGCAACAAGATAGCAACAAAGAAAACCTAACTTTCTTTAAGGATACCTATATGGAAGTAATTAAATATTTGTGAGTGCTAACATTAATGATCCCTCCTTGTCCAAAATATACATGGTTTGTACCACCCTGAATTTTTCTGCATGGGCTAAAACACAATCAAAATTTCAAAACTTGTACTACTTATGTGCAAAAATAACATTGACTTAATCCCTAGATTTTGTCAATGAACAATAAACCTAAAGTATTCCACAATTTAGAGAAATCATTGTGGATGAAAAGTTTTTTGCAGCCTTCTTAGGCATTAATAAGTGCCAGGTGTACATATGACACCTCAGATATTGCCAAGATAGGACATTTCTTACCTTCTGGTTTAGACAAATGAAAAATCAGTGTTAAATTGAACAGAGATGGCAGGAAATGGCATGGAGGGAGCCCTGTGTTACCACCATCAGTTCACCAGCTCATGCAGGTGTAGGTGAGCAGCAGTGGCAGCTGGGTGAACACACCATGAAGATTTCTCACACCTGAGACTGAAACGGCTCCAACAACCCTGGAGTAGGGTCGCTGTTTCCAGCAGAGTGCTGGACAAGCACCATCCCCACAGAGACAGGAGCTGACAGGACTGCATCTCCTCAATCCCTCTGCCACTCTTACAAATCGACAGCAGAGCACAGAATAGCATCCAGACACTCAGGACACCTTCCTCTGGCTTAGTAAGCACACAGCTTTCTCCCTGATAGTGAGACACCCCTCACTCACAGCAGGAAAGAGAGATGCTCCGAGCTGCAGGCAGCAGCGTCTCTGCTGGCAAGAGCTCACTGTGCAAACGTGCTTTACCCAACCCAAATTGATTCCTACATTTACAAAAATGGGATGGTGAGCAGCTGGGAAGCTTGCCCAATCTGCTGCTTAGCACTGCAGTTCAGTGTATGGATCTGTGCAGAGCCATCCCAGCAGCAACCAGAGGAGTCTCTGCAGAGTCTAACAAAGAGATTGCCCTGCCCATCAAGCCAGACACAGGACTATTCCCCACCCAGCAAATCCATGGGGATTCCCTCAACCCATAAACAAGGACTGTAAAAGCACAAGGAGGAGTTGCACTGTAGCAGGTAGAATTTGCCTTAGGTTTGGCATTCTAACTTGTGTTTGATAGTTTATAAATATTTTATCATGGAAAAATATGTCTTTTCCTTAAGCTACTAAAATAAAGGGGAAGAAGAGAAAAATGGCTTCAGACCATAGTGTTATACAAACATGCAAAGAGTATTTTGCAAAAACATCTAATGTACATGCACTAATTGGTTTACTGCAGCTACTTGTCTGCACACGAAACAAGTTTCTGTATGAACACTCTTTGCACGTGTGCTGTAAAAGGCAGCTTCTGGCTTTGCTGTCACATTCCTGCCATGTTGGTCCTTTGATAAAAAAGATGTTACAGCTGAAATAGATTGTTTTTCATACCTATCACTCAGAACATGTGGAAATTAATGTAGCCCTCTTAAGAGTTAGCCATGCTGAAATCAATGCCTTCTCACCAGAATCAGCGCGTTTCATCTTCTCCACAGAAGCCCAGCAAGCTAAAAGATCAGAGTAACACTGCAGTAGCTCAAACTGAAACTGGGCTCAAGCACTGACAAATCTCACAGGAGCCAATGGAAGCTGCGTGGCTTCAGCACCTCTGACAACTAGATCATGACACTTTTCTAAACAAGTCCATTGTTTAGGGCTGTGAAAAAGCACAGCCACAAACAATGACTTTTACCCCCATGCCAATAAGACAAGTTTCTTACATGCCAAAACAACACAGGATAGACTTCTGTATTTTGAAACAGGCTTGTGTAATCACAGTTTGAAAGCTTTATAGCTTATTTTTGTTTCATACAATATCCTCTACCCAGGAATGTTTAATTCAGAAAAGATGCCAAAACCAGTGATGCCTGAAGTCCTGCATGCAACAGCAAGGTGAAGGAAGAAGGAAAGGCACTAACCTCTGAAGTCTGTGGAGAAAAACATATTTAAAATAAATGAAAAAAACCCCTTGTAATTATCCACTGGTTAGCAGAGAGGAGATTCAAAGCTCCTGGTGCCACAATCCTCCAGCCACTGCTTTCATTTGCTCCCTCTCCATCCCTTCAAACTTTACCTGTCTTGGCTTTAAGAAACTATCTTGCCCTTATGAATACATATTGGTGCAGATTTTTGCCTTATGGGAAAGAAGAATATAATGAGGGCACATTTTCCTAACAAAAAAAATCTTCCAATGTTTTACTCAGTGGGAAACAAGACCAAGGAAATACTATCCTGTATATAACTGTAACAATACTCAGAGTTATTGGAATTTATTGTCCTATCACATTCACACAATGTGGAACCCAAGAATATTGGCCTCTCCTCTACAATGACACATTGCAGTTCAAACAACTGTACTAGGCCTAAATGTAATTTATCTAATATTTCATATTAAAAATCATTACAAAATTTACACTACAAGCCTTGCTAGCTTCATGACTGCTAAGAATTCTGCAAGCACGTTCAGTGAAAAACAAACAGGACTTAGAAGTATTCTTTTACCTGCCCCAAAATATGAAAAAGTTTAAATAAATTATCTAAGGAAAAATATAGTATCCAGACTCTTTTATAGAGATAGGTAATTTGTACAAAAAATTTAATCTCCCAGATGCTTTATGAACAGTACCAACAGCCAGGGAGGAATGACTGCCTTTAATGAAGCTCAATATAATAATATTTAATAAATGGACAGTGAAACAGTGATGAGGTTGGTTAAAAGGAGTTTCTGATCTTTCCAGGAATTAATGTACTAACACTCATCACTATAGCTTAGCTCTTCATCAGCAAGGGAAAAAAACCCAACCAAATTTCTGTCAATATGAAAAGACTCAGGTTAAACAAGAGCAGTATTATGCATTTCTAACATACAATTAGGACTTCTAGCCCACTTTCTAGGTGACATTTTTTTCTTATTAGAAAGTGGCTCCCTGCCCTGCATTACAGGCGTAAAACAATTTACTTTGGACAACCTGGACCTTTAAGCTTCTCTTTTCTTTAGCCAAATACGTCCTTTCTGTGCCTCTCAAATTCTGAGTGCCATAACAAGCCCTTCCAAGTGTAATATTTTTAGGGTATTTCTGCTGCTGAAGTGATTTATTCCCCTTTCCTGAAAGGCACACTGAGGAAGCAGGAATGGATCATGCCAAGGATCAGCAAAATCCAGTGGTCTGAATCACTTGACTCCTGTCTGCACTCCCTGCTTACTGACAGATGCAGCCAGCCAACAGCTCACTTACTTTTATGGTCAGACAACTCTAGCACTTCATATATATTCATTTCACTCCTTTATGCATGAATATGAATTTTCCAAGTTTGAAAACAAACAGCCAAGGGAAATGCACTCTTTATTTAAGGATTAGGAAGAGAAGGAGCAGCAGGTAAATCAGCAACACATAACAGACCAGGCAAGCCTAGCCTGCCCTGCTCTGGATCCTGCAGCCCCAAAATCCCAATCCCACAAGCAGGAGAACAGCAACATGCCTCAAATGGGACCTGACTGGCAGCTCAGGCTCTCCTGCCTTCACCCTGGTGCCCTGGATTACAGCTGGGGTGGAAAAAGCTGCCCAGGTGTCTCCTGGGCAGAGGGCTTGCCCAGCAGCCCAACAGCTTGAACCTTAAAGAAACCAAAAGCTTGAGGAATTAATTCATACATCAACATCGGCTTTGACAGGAGGAAATGTTCTCTTAGTGATGTAGCAGTAACACTGCTATCCTTAATGCTTTCCTTTAAATCTCCATTTTCACTAGGCTTCATCTGTCTCGTCATTACAGTCAGTTAAACGAGATCAAGAGGCTTAACGAGCTTTGAGTATCAAAGAACAGCTCTGACTTTGCCAGTGCTAAAAATCCACAGCACAGAATTCCCCTGTGCTGTTTCTGAAATACGCTGGATGGGATCAAAACCATCCTGTTATTGCAACTATATGTCCTAAATCTGACTTAAAAAGAAACGCTACCCCAGCAGCTGGATGATGACAACTGCAAATGTCTCAGTTTAGTATCAGTTTGATCTGCATTTTTCATGTAACACTGGCATTAAACCATAGGGGCTTTTCCCATGTTTATATCCCCCAAAGTCTTTCCAATCATTCTTCTTGCCTGACTTGAGTCAGTACTTGGTAAGTACTTGATCTCTCTAGCCAAAGGGTTGGACACAGACACTGCCCACAAGCCTGTGGTTGCTTTAAATTCCATTATTGATCCTGTGAATTTCAACAAGAACATTCAAGAACAGGATTGGGTCCTGAGCTTGCAGGTAGGGACTCCAATACAATGCCTTAATCCCTAATATTAGGCCCTAATATTACAGTTCAGATTCATAGAAAGGCAAACCTATTGCTCATTTAATAAAACTGAATTTATATTTAAGGTAGCCTATAATTTATAAATTAATAGACTTTTACCCACAATCACTAACTAT